ATCTATTATTTCAGTTTGACTTCTTGATTTATGCATGCCCTTTATGTCTGTGAAACCAGTACTATAGTCAGTCTCACTCGTTTTTCCCGTCTCTTCGGCTCTTTTTTAGGTTCGAGCGTTGAGGTTCCGTCGGAGGTGATCATCTTAAATTCAATTGTTCTGCCCCACAAGGAGCTGTCCGGCAGTTTTAAAAATCAAATTATTCTCTGAGACTGCCGATGCTTTCAACTTTCCGTGGACATTGTAAAGGGATTTTGTGTACTGGGCACAGAACCGTCGTGAGTGCGATCGTCATTCCCACCTCTGCCCACCCCCTCTTCTCTGGTCTCTGTCGTTCCTTTATTGGCTGGCCCTGAGCTACCCCTACCCACCCCCCTCCTGCGCTGTTATTGTCACTTGCTGACCCAAAATTCAGACTTGAATCCACTTCCATTTGGCTTTGTTTCTCATCGAAATCTGTTGAGACCAGAATCTTTAGCGCCCTTGCTCAGCTAAGACAGCCCTTGTGTTTTTTTTTATTGATTTATCTCTTCTCTGGCTAATATTTTTACTTGATCAGTTAAGCCCCCTGGTGGCATTTGCCTGGTGTCGACCACCCGGTTTGGGTATCTTTTTAATTAGGCGTATATATGAACCCACTGTTTGAAATTTTCATCGTCTTTTGATTTTCTACCCTACTACCTCCTTGCCATTTTTGTACGAAGTTTCGGCAGCAGTCTAGAAGAGAAAAGAATGCGGCCCTTTTTGTCGCTGTGATTTTTCGTACTGAACTGGACACCTCAGGTGCAAATCCACCCCATTGATGGCATTGTCTTTCCTGCCGGTTGTTTCTCATTGGGAAGCACCCCGAGTGCCTAGTTCGTTCGCTCGAACGTCTTATGGATCAAGCCATAGCGCTCTGACCGACATTTTCGTCAAAATGTGTTTGCCATTGTCCGCGTCAGCCTATCCCCCTACCTCGTTGCGGTTAGCGTGGTTACACTGAATAGTATTTTTGGATTTTAATGTTTGATACTTGCGTTAAATTGTATGAAGCGCATTGCAGCGCCGCTTCAGGCAAAAAAAACTTGAAAGATTCACCTCCGTGATTTCCTTACGGCGAGATTATATACCATCTCGTTTGTTGGCAGAAGTTGTGCAGGGGATGTGTGCAGAATTTGCCGCTACCTTTTTACCCCGCGATTTCAGCCATCCGGATGCTTATTTCGTGTAGCCATGCAGTTAGTGACTGACATCATGAAATGTTGGCCAAGATTCTGAAATGCGTTTTCGATTAGGAAGGATTGCTTGGTCGCGGTTGTAATACTTATTATCTTGCAGCAAAGTCTTATAAAACTTCGGACTCGGCAGGATGTCAGCTTTTGAATACACTGCTTTTCAATCCCCTGTATAAACCGTACTCGGTGAAAAATGACTACTTAAGTAGCATGCATTTTTCGCATTGATTTTCGATGGTCAAAAATATGCTTTCGTTCAGTCAATTAATAGAGAATCACGTCTTTTTAATATTTTATACTCAAGAAAGGAGTATAATTGGGCTTTAAAAAGTTGCTAATTATGAGATGTTTTAAGGCCTCGCAATGTCTATCCACATGGCATCGTACCTGGCCGTTTACCACAGCTCCTCATGAAATGTACAACATAGTCCGCATCCATTGCAAAATTTTATGGACTCTGTATGATATCTTTTTAATGGCATAGAAAAGTATGTGATTTTCTCTACGCGGAACGTATACACCTTGCAGACTGAAATCACTCTGCGATAATGCAACGAATAATCAGGCCCAAATTATTCGGCAATTAGAAAACTTCTTTAAAGTTTAATTATACTCCATCCTCGAGTATAAAATATAACGAAAACGTGATTCTCTATTGATTGACTGAAAGAAAGCATATTTTTGTTTATGGTTTCTATAAGATATATTTGGATTTGCTAGACCACCGAAAATCAATGGGAAAAGTGCATGCTACTAAAGTATCCATTTTTTTTACCGAATACGGTTTCTACGGGAGATTGGAAAGCAGTGCATTCAAAGGCTGCCATCCTGCCGAGTCCGAAATGTTTTAAGATTTTGCAGCAAGATAATCAGCATTACAAGCACGATCAAGTAATACTTCCTAATTGAAAACGCATTTCAGAATTTCAGTCAACATTTCATGAGATCGGTCACTCACTGTATTATACGCAGGTTAGCTGGCGTTGTGCAGGTAGTATACGACTTGGTTCATGAAGTCGTATTTTATGAGCAAGAGGAGACCACTTGATGCGGTAATGGCTTCTTAAGTGAGAGTTTGTTAGGGGAAATACGCAGTATTTAGTCATTCAGGAAGGTTGGTGACAGAGGCGAACGACGTCCTTGTCAGCGCTGCCTGACACGTAATTTGGAAACCTTGGTGAAAAGACAGTATGCATCCCGAGGTGCAGTGTACTCTGATTAATCAGCTTATACTGGAATGAGAGGTTGTGGTATGATCAAGTGGTTGGCCCAATACTCACTTTAATTGGATCCAGTCGGCAAATGTTAGACCGTTGATTGGTGCTGAGGCTGCTGCGTCCTTCCTGTCTCCTCAAACGCCTAACGTTGTGCGATCCGATCCTGCTCTACCTTCTCTCTGCCGGATGCTACCCTGCCTGGAGACGCGTTACCCCTTAATCGTTGGTATCCCCCTGGCGTACTCACTTGGTCACGCCGCCTACTGGCCCAAGCAGACAGGTTAGTCGAAATCCTAGCTGGTGACTGTCCTCTCGCGTTTCTGGAGTACAGCCTTTGAAAAGATTCTGGCTTAGAACAATCATCGAACCCACTCAGTGGCATGAATCCCAATAGTAAACACGGTCTCGATATTCTTGCCGAATGGGTTGCTGGCCCACTTAGCTTGCTGAATGATCAACGAGGATCAGCTGTTTTGGCCATGGAAGGGGTGCTCTTGTTGCGGCAGGCGGTGAAAGTGTGTCCCTGTCTGTGCGCTACCACCGTAGGGAGAAGGCGGAAGACACCAGAATGAGGAGTCTAATGTACACAGAACCCGGAGTTGTCCTCTCAGGCGGCAGTGGCCACTGGCGAAGCCAGGACTCGTGTTGACAGCGTCCAGTCATGCCTGAGAGTCCTTGAGACAGTGGTGGCAGCGGCTTTTGCGGGCTAGTAGGCCAAGCTCAAGTGGTGGCCAGTCAGTGTGTGTTGCATTTGCCAAGGGGTGGCGCCCGGTGACTTAGGTTGTGCTTGCAGGGCGGTGGGGTGAGTTCAAGTGGCCGCATAGGCAGTTGCGGCTGTGCGGACGCAGGTGTGCCCGAGCTGCCGGTTCGTGTGACTTCAGGTCAGCGCGTCTGGAACGGCCCACTGCAAAAGGGTGGATGACCTTGAGGCAGTGAGGTCTTGAACAATGACCCCAGCCCGGTCATGATGGCCGGCCGCCACACTCTTACCTGTCTGTGTGTAGACTCCTCTCAGCGAAGCTACAGGTTTCCTGTGGACTAGTGAATCTAAGTATCATCAGTCACTGCTCCAAGAACCCGATTTAGCCTTCAGTAATTATCGCCCCGGTTCGGCAGCTGAAACCATTTGCCTGCCTCGTCGTCGATCCAAAAGTTGTCCAAGCGTCAAAGGGTCGCGGTTGCAGTTGGCTCATACACCCGCTGCCTTCTGCGCAGGCAGACGTTTTAAACGGGTGTCGGACGCACCGTAGATGAACTAGCTCGTTAAATCTTCTGAGATTAGATTCCGCTAAACGGCGTTGTTTGGTGGAGCTGCCATACAGATTAGCGTACAGTATGATAGCCTGGCATTTCTTACTCGTGGAGATTTTGACATTTAGCTGCGCGTGTTTTCGGTCGCCCATACAGATCACGTTTCCCAAACAGTTCTGGTCAAGTAGTATGCACTTTCCATCGGTTTTCGATGCCGTAATACATACAATGATGTATGCGAAAAAGACCCTTCTATACCTCCGTTGTGGCTAGTTGCGCTTTTAATTCTTTTTCTCAAAGATTTGACATTTATCGAGTTAAGAAATTTGGTAGTTGAGATTTATCTGTTGCGATAGAGAAGTGTATGATTTTCCTGAGTTAGCATTGTACAGCGTGAAACTTGGAAACCCCCTACGAAGTCACGTCAAGTATGGTACAAACTCGTTCGCGAATTGATAAAACTTCTCCAAAAACAGACGATATTTACCCAGGTAGATAACTTGGAGGAGCAGTTAGGCATAAAAAGAATTCGAGTGTTTTGTGCGTACCTTCTATAGCCTGGTGGTTAATCAGGTGCACTCTACTTTAGTTATTTTTGGAGACTGCCACTTTTACAGACGACCAAAAACGCAACCAATAGCTGGCATCCAGACTTGTTAGGAATACCCCGGAATTATGCTGCACCCAGGACAGTATGGCAACTCTACTTGAGAAACCCTTTCTAGCCAAAATAATATTTTGGGTCTAAAACTGATGCCTTATGGGCTGTGACACCTACCGGTCCCACACCTACTGTATCTGGCGCCCGCTTTCAGGTTCCCCCGCTCGGGCATTTCACATTAGCGCGTCTAACCCACTTTCCCACCAACCCATCGCATGCAAGTCAAGGAAAGCCCATCGACAACCCTGTTCTGACCTACCTGAACACACTCTTCGCCAGACGTACCCCGGTGTCAGTATTCTACTGGCTCTTGTCAGACTGGCAGTTTCCGGCAGTGGTTGGAGTTGTCCGACCAAGAGGAATCTGGTCCGCATGGACCTAAACACAGACTTCGCCTCCGTGGATGTTGAACCACGTAAAACAGAAGCAAAAGCAGGCAGGACAAAAAATGTTTCCTTGCATACCATACAACACAGTGGTATAATGTCTTCAAAGGCATCAGGACTTCTTACACTCAGTCGGGCAGGGGGGGGAGGGGTGCGGGTGTGCGATGGGGTCTTCTGTTTCTGAAGCACAGCTCCAGGGCCTATATCGGAGGAGAGGGGATGGCGGGAAGGCTGGTTGCAGGGCGGGTATTCGATTGGACGGAAATACCTATGCGCGAATGAGCTTTTCATTGAAAACTGCTATTGCCTTGAAGTGACTTTCACGGATTGGCGGCAGGTTGCCCAGATCCTCCCACTTCGCCTCGACATTCTTACCAGATAACAGCTAGAGGGGAGATTGGGTAAAAGAAGGCGTAACCTCATTATTTGTCAGTGAAGTGTGTTGGATGTTTGCATATTCCTGCTCAGCGGCAATCTTACTAGCTGACAGTTCATTTGGAGCCGTTTAGAACGGGCATGCAGAAGCAAAAATTAGTAGATATTATAAAGGCTGTTTTGCCTTTAATGCGAGTAAGCATTAAACTGATAGAGGGAACCTCCAGATAGGAAAATTCAGCTAGAGAAGTTTGACGAATTTGGATATAGGCAAATGCGGCAGTTCTGTCACGTGACCAGCGTGGGACACTACCTCACCAACGCGCCCACGAGACCGAAATCAATTCACAGGGGCAGCAACGGCCGATCAGTCCGTTGGCTGACGAGTAGGGGGCGGCAACAAGCACGCCGACTCGGATGCAACTACGACGGCTGCAGAGGGGGCAAAAGTCAGGCAAGCCTGCCAGCGATTGATTTCGGGGAGATCAAAACTGGTCAGCGGTAAGTGGGTAGTTCAAGACCGGTTTATCCAACACGGTTATAACAAGGCCGGCGGCAAGCCGAGTAAATCAAAGTCAGCAGGTATAACCACCGCACCACTCTGATGAGGGTAATGGGGAAGTTCCTGAGGCATGAGTTCAAATAGATTTCAGTCCATGAACTCTCCTCCACTCTGTCTTATTTCGGAGGCGGGGGAGGGGTGACCATGATATCTTGACCCCGAATCATCACTCCTGCTGGTATGTTTACATCCCAGTGCTGAGTTGGATCATGCACGTCGGATTTATGCTTGAACTTAATACATCCACCTTCGGAAGCCTTCCCTGACAATGTGTGCTTCCCGTTTTCTAGGCCCAGTCAAGTGAATCATCTTCCAGCGACTGTGTTGACAAAAATGTACTTCCTCAACTGTAGCCTGGTCATGGCGAATAGAGGCCGTTTCGTCTCAATAGGAAGCTTATTCTCTCTCTTCCTCCCCCTCTCTCTTCTACCGAGCTCTAATAACTCTTATACCCTTAGAAAAACGTAATTTCCCACCAAGATATCACAAGAAACTAATAATTTCTTTATGCCATTAACAATTAAAGACTGACGATGTCTACATATTGAACTTGATTCCTCTCAGGGATCAGAATTTTCCCCGGATGAGGCTGTCGTAAACGAATAGGCGACGAATGATTACCACCTTATACGAACAATTTGCGAATAGTTCTACAAACGCATTCCGAGGTTAGATGAAGTCAGTCAGTTTGGGATACCTGTCCCGTGCAAATTACTGACTTAGCTCCTTATTCCCTCGCGTGACCAGGGTTTCGGAACATGAGGATCATAATAACTTGCCCGATCACTTTTTATTTGGATGGAACTTGTTGTCCTCCTGAAGGTTCATTTTGTCAGCAAAAACATATTTGTAGCATTATGATGCTGATATGAAGACAAACAATTAGACGACGAAGAGAGCTGTTTCTGTAATGTCCAATGCTGTTTTTGCAGCGTATGAGTCCAGAAATAGGAGCCGGGAAATAGTCCCATGAGTTAAGAAAGTAATTGACTCACCTGTGGTAGTAGCTCCCAGAATCGGTAGGACCCCGGCACCTGTATGTGAATCGCAGTTACATCTATCCAAGCGTTGTCACAGTTTACTTCATCCTCAAGGAATCCCATCACGTACTATTCAGAAGGAAGTCAAAACAAACAGTGTTGAGATGGCTTGGTAGATGGGTCCGCACTTAGCAATAAGGTACTCAGACGTTATGGTTTAGTGCCTTGCACTGAATTTTTTGAATAGGATGCTAAGCTGGTCGCAGATTCCGACTTTTCCCAAGTGTACTTTGGCTGTAACAGGCGACTATGCCATCTGTCGTGTATTGTCATAAAGACACTTCGAGGTATACAGTGAACGAAAGATCAAACCATTGTGTTGAGGAGGAAAGACGTTTGAGCCGAAGTTATGTACCGACATAAGTCATTCAAATGAGGCTCTGCCAACCTTCCGTTTTTACTGGGACATTCTTCGTTTGGCAAAACTCGTCGTGGGCAGCCATTTACAGTAGCATGGGGACTGCATCCTAGAAGTACTACAGCCCCTTGTGCATGAGCCGCCCGTATCTCTGCCATCGTCTCTGATGACGGGTTCGAGCAGGAATCCGAACCGTCAGGCGAACAAAGCTCCTGTTCCAGCGATCGCCTGGAGAACGTTGATGTCTGACGATTTGGAGTACATCCTTTCCCGCCTCGGTCAACTAACAGGGATGTACCGTTAGAAAGGCAAACTCATGTGACAGATTCTGCTTTCTTACTGGCCCGGTCATCAAGGGTCCTGTTGTGCGAATATGGGCTTTTGATTGGCGTGTCTGGCTGTTTTTCATCAGCAATACTACACGTCTTTTGAAGCGCTGGCTTGGTAATCCACTTTTCAGCCAATCTGGGGGTGTTGCGAAGACGGTTATCAGACAACGCGCTGAGTCTTACTACGATCTGGGTCTTCGCGTTGCGATAATGCATGCCAATATCGACATGGCGCCCGGGGGCATCAGTCAGAACAAGGAGAGAACTATTCTGCAACACCCGAGTGAATGTTGGAGATGCCGGAAGGCAAAATCCCCATGGAAGATACTAAACATGCCGATGCCCATTGAGAATATGATCCTCCGTGATGCCAAATCAAAACTGATTAGTGGACTAGCACGATGCACTATAATCCTTAACGTATCCGCCGTGGAGCAGAAAGAACTTGTGCCGCCTCGCTCGTCTGTATTTGGAGGCTGAGCAAGTTCGTTTCCAGTTCGTCTCAGCCCGGCGCGACGTTGACAATGGGTGCTAGGCGCTCTATCCGTGCGGCATCGTCAGTAGTGAGTTTGAGTAGCAGCAGCCTAGGCTACCCTTCTCAAACGCGAGATCGCAAAATACAGAAAACGCTTATTAAGGTGCTGCCTAAACTAGGGAATTAGAATCTTAATGACCGATGCGTTTTACACACAGGAGGGTGGACTAATGACACAATTTGCTTCGGCCTTGACGCACGCTACACTTATTTGTGGAAACGAGGAAGACACTGACTAGTTATGAGTATTCCCACGTTAGGGGCCATAGCAGACCAATAAATACGGTGCGGGTTAGCGGAATCAATGGGATGGCCAGTTTTGATGTCGCGATTGCAGTCATGATGCCCTATTCGCGATGGCAATGAAAAGGCATTTCATCGTAAATCAGATCAAGAGCATACAGAAGTCTGGTGTTAGGCGCGGCGTTCAGTGTTATCCTCTCTTACGCTCTGCGTCCACACAAGTTAGCCAAACCTGGAGTCGGCGTTGGCTGACTTGTGGTGGCCCTACTCCGACCGCCTGCCTGAACGCTGGGCCTCTCGCGACGTCTGCACGAGGGCTGTCTGCCATTCGCTCACTCGGTTCTCCGACTGGCCAATCAAATTCAAGGCCGAGTCAGACGTGTCCTGGCTCCAGGCTCCGTGACGCATTCCCTCGGACGCTTGGGTTGCCGCTCGCCCCGCGCCTGACGTGCCAACGTCCGGCTGCCAACTACAGTAGGTGGGCTAACTCATGAAATGTTAGCCGAAATTCCGAAATGCGTTTTTGTTTCTAAAAGATTAATTAAGGAGGGTTGTAGAACTAGTCAGCCTACAACATAATTCTGTAATATTTCAGTTACCTCAAGATGCCGGCTTTCGAAAGAACTTCCTTCGGGCTGCATGCAAAAACTACGCAATGCAAAAAATGACTACTTATGTGGCATGAATTTTTCGCATTGATTTTCGATGCCCCTGCATGTCCGATTATATTTCGTGGTAAACATACATAAAAATACTCATTCTTTCGCTCATTCGGTAGAAAATTACGTCCTCTTCTAATTTTATACTCCAAGGAGGGACATAATTCGGTTGTCAAAAACTTTTCGATTCCGGAATAATTTTGGACCCGCTCCACCGTTACATTTGGATACAGGATTTTCAAACTACAAACCGCATATTGTCCGCGTACGGAAAACCACACATTTCTCAACGGTAATAAAATGGGACCATGGTAAAACATAGCAGTGGATTTGATCCATATTGTTAACTTTACAAGCCACATTGGTAAGTGCAGAGACATGACGATTTGTGAACGGCCATTTCACGGTTTTTAAAAGTCCCACAATTAGAAACTATTTTGAAACTGAATTATGCCCCTCTTTCGAGTATAAAATTGGAAGAAGACGTCATTTTCTACGGGATGAGCGATAGAATGCACAGTTTTATGCATTTTTTCCATGAAATATAATCAGACATGCAGGGGCATCGAAAATCAATGTGAAAAATTCATGCCACATAAGTAGTCATTTTTTGCATTGCGTAGTTTTTGCATGCAGCCCGAAGGAAGTTCTTTCGGAAGCCGGCATCTTGAGGTAACTGAAATATTATGGAATTATGCAGCAGGCTGGCTAGTTTTACAACCCTTCTTAATTAATTTTTTTGCAACGAAGACACATTTCAGAATTTCGGTTGATATTTCATGAGTTAACCCACCTACTGTACCTCCAACTAATCCGGTTAATCTGTACGAAATATATTATTCTCCACACTTGGCATCCGCCTTCTCTGTCCATTCGGGACCAGGCCTGATGGTCGCGGTATCCAGCATCTCACTCTCGGCCTAGTCTGGTGCATGTGCGCGCGCCGGTCCGTCGACATCCAGGGTATTGTATGGATAAATGCCAAGTTTGCAGCCACTAAGAATGTCATATGACCATGAACTGACTAACATCGGTTTGATGACCCCATTTGTGCTTATGTGGGCTTCTGGTCCCAGGGGGCAATCTGGTTATGGATGGCGTAGGGAGGGCGGAATAAGCCAATACAGCGCGTCTTAATTTACCCCCTTCTCTGTCTAAATATCATGGCACCATTTCTTGACCGAGTTCGGTCTGTTTGTTCGATCTCTGACCCACATTCAGAGCCTGGCTGCTTCGGGGAACTAATGGACCACAGCGCGTCTTTAGTGTTCACTATTACAGCTGTAGTTTGGGCTGGTGGCTACGAATGTACTGATTGCCAGTGTTGAGTTATTCTAAACATCCGGGTAAGATGTGGTTATGTAGTCCCACCTGATGGGCATAATACTGTAGGGGTCTAGTTTAGCGGTTAGGGTTAAGGATTGGAGGTAGGGCTTATGGTTAGAGGTTAGGGTTAGGATGGCTAATTCCCAATCACTTAAAGTACAACTACGCATCCCCAATAGCTTTCCTTTTGCGTACAACTCCTTGACCTCCTCGCCTCTGCGTTCCAAGATCTCACCTACAAAAACACCCTATTATCACCGGTCCCGTATTACAGGTGGCTGGGGTTTTTTTCAGGTGGAGCTAGATAACCACATCTGACCAGCATAGCCGCGAGTAAGGCTGCAGCTAAAGATATATTAAAAGTGCAGGATTCTGCTAATCCAAATGATACAGTTAGTAAATGCAATTCAAAAAGCCTCCCCACTTTTTTGTAAAAACAAACTTTAACATCGTCTTTTTTTTGATAGCAGAGTTCTTTTGGACTACGTCAAACTATTTCAGGATTGAGCAGCGCGTTCAACCGATCGACTTACATAGTTGAGGTCGCATTTCTCCAATTCCTTCTGGAGGTTGCTGTGAAAGTCGTATGATTCGGGCTCGTTTTCGGCCAATTCTAGCGCCATCCGCTGCATATACGCCAGAAGCAAAATCTCCAACAACTCCTTCTTATCTTCTGTGGGTGCGTGGTTACAAATGAACTATGAGGGAGGAAGAGCAAATAAATGAGTTCTTTCCAGGCAGCATAGTCATTAATTTGGACCAAACGATTCAGTCTAGTCACACAGTTCTGGTCTAGCTCTAAAAGTTGGTGTGTAGAGTGTCTGATTTAGCGCTTTAAAGCTGCGAAATATGACTGATACCCTTTCGCATACGTCCAAAATGTTTCCAGGGCCACGGAAGCTATGAATGTTGTTCTGTTGCGCCATAAGTCATCGGCCAGAGGTTTCCATGCGCACAGAGGCTATGCGAACCGTGAAACACACTTGAGTAATGTGGTATGGTTCATCTGATTATATGTTCATCTGATTAGATGTCAATGCTCTCCCTACGGGTACACAGGACATCTGAGAAGAAAGTCACTTCACGGGTATTCGCGTACCACTTGACAGTGCAAGAGGTAAACGTCCTGACCTTCGTCGCTGTCCGCACCCTGAGAAGCGATCGTGAACTCAAATTCGCCAACACAAAAATACTGACTTGGCCTGGCTGTAAAAAGGATTGTCACCTGCTTAAGGCCTGGACTACCGGCAATAACCCCATAAAGCCACCTACGATAGGTTCCCCGCCTGTCACGCCTTACATCTACGTGGTCGGACCATGCAATTCATGCAGTTCCCACGCTGTCAGAGGCCGTTCCTTCAGACCCTGGAGATGAGTCACTTCACGTGTCCGGAAGCTCACATCGATGCAATGACTGTCCCAGTGATCAATGCCGTATGAATAAGCAAAGTTCGATCTCAAGTCGAATAACCGAAAAGTCAGATAAGACCAGTGGGACGCTTTTAATTATGGTCAGGCGTTTTACACGATTGAAGCTGATGTCCATCATCGGAGATTGAAGACGCGCAAAATACAACGATATAGAACAGTTGAGGCCGACTGTCCTTGGTATCATGTGGTCCTCCTTGGAGCTGCTCGAGCCATTGGCGATCGGGCGATCAGGTTTAAGGGCTTAACAATGCTGACCGTTAATTTCCACCACATTTAGGATAATAGTGATCTTTAGTGACACCAGGTGATATCATCATCATCATCATCATCATCATCATCATCATCATCATCATCATCATCATCATCATCATCATCATCATCATCATCATCATCATCATCATCATCATCATCATCATCATCATCATCATCATCATCATCATCATCATCATCAACAACAACAACAACAACAACATCATCAACAACAACAACAACAACATCATCAGCAGCAGCAGCAGCAGCATCATCGTCATCATCCTCCAACACTCTAACCACTTGAGCTACGAGGCTCCGCCGGTTGACGCGAGTTTAATCAAATTTGGGTCAAGTTACCCGCCCAAACTACTGCAACTTCTGGAATCCACCAAATCTGTTACAGCAAGTTGACTGCCCAGGCAGGATTTCCTGAGTAATTCACCTAGAATCCACCAGATAACTACCAGGTTCACGTAATTCATAGATGTGTGGACGGGTAACTTGACCCAAATGGGAGTAAATTTGCGTCGTCCGGCGTGGCCTCCTAGCTCAAGTGGTTAGAGCGTTGGCTGTACTAAAGCCTTCTCCTTACCGCGTGGGTTCGAATCCCACCGAGGCGCCGAATTTTTTACAGTTGGGTCAGTAGGAATTATTCAACATCTGCCAAAACATCAATGAATTACGTAAGCCTGGTAGTCATCTGGTGGATTCTAGGTGAATTACTAAGGAAATCCTGCGTGGGCAGTCAACTTACTGTAACAGATTTGGTGGATTCCAGACGTTCCAGTAGGTTGGGCGGGTGACTTGATCCAAATGTGATTAAACTCGCGTCGTCCGGCGGGGCTCCGCAGATCATCATCATCATCATCATCATCATCATCATCATCATCATCATCATCATCATCATCATCATCATCATCATCATCATCATCATCATCATCATCAATCGCCGAGTTCAGGTACAATTCAGACATCCTCGTGAGCTAGACAACGCCTTTACAACTAGGCCCTAGAACCGACCAAACTCACTTGCACATAATATGATGATGGCGTTTTAATTGCTTCCTAGCACTCTGCGATTCCACTCCGCATCCTGACCGCAAATTATTAATTTGGAGTCTTTGGGGTCCGTCATGCTGGATGTACGATCGGCTCCTGTCAAAAGGTCTGAAAGCGTGTGCTATGCCAGTATCAACAAACAATGGCCCTCGCAGCCTGGCATGCGCTTCCAGTTCCCTGACACCTGGTTCTCTGCTGGTGAACGCGTCTACGCCCCCGCTGGGTATGCAGGTGGTGGGCATGGCTGTCCAGTCATCATCCCCGTCCTCCTGACTCCTGTTGGGGTGTTGTTATTGGTGAACCGGGGGGTGTGGTAGCACGCCTAGGTGCGGGTCCGGCCGCGCCAGCCAGCCTGGCCCTCCCCCGGCCACCGGTCTTGTTGACTCTGTCTTGACACCAGGTCCAGGTGGGGAGTGGGAGGAAAGGGTGCGGTAGATGCTGAGCAAGTCTACTATCACTATAAACTAGTTTACGCACAAATCACCGTACCTGCTGCACTTTGCTGTGTAGCACACGGTGGACATCGTCCGAATCGACGGCCGAACTGTCAGAATCTGCTCCTTCCAGCTTATGGTTCACTCTGTTCAGGCTACGACGAAAGCCTTGGTGGGAAAGGTAGGTGAACCAAGGCGAACAACGATCCCTGACGGCTCTGGATACGTAAGCGTTGGTCTGTACAAGGAGGAGAGCAAGCTGTTGCCCGCACGGGAACCGAAGGACAGGAATGAGCGGGTACAGCCCTTGGCATCTTCCCGCCAACGCAACCAATTAATTGACTGCGTGGTAAACTAACAATCGACGACACTGCTAAGTCGGCATTAGCGGAAAAAAAAACTGATGCGCAGAGGGTCATAACCTGATGTTAAATCATCTCTACAAGTATCGGTTGACGGTTATAAGGATGGAGCTGGCCTCCCTCCGAATAACTGCGATAGTCTGTACGTCGTCAGCCCTCGGCAATGGACCGACCCTTGAATGAAGTCAACCATTTGTCCCTGTACCAAAACGTCTGTCCTTCGTTTTACACAGGCCAATATTTAGGCGAAAAATAGAATGAATTGAAATTCCATTTGGATAATAAGACCGCCTGATTATATACCCATGGCAGATTTTTCTCTTTTGAAGGTGCAGACCGCAGAAGAACTTGCCGTCGGACAGACTGACTTTGGTATGCAGTGCGATCATTGTCCCACTTCTCGTCCAGTGTAAACACTAGGTAGAAGGCCTTGTTCTCACCATAAGCCGGTAGGTGACCACGACCGTCGACTCCTGTGCGACCGAGCGGATTTTGTGGAAGGGGATCTGGTGGCTCGGCTGGCTCCTCAGTCGTCTTGCCGATCCACCGGAGGACCGTCTCATCGGCAAACTCCAGGACGGCGGGCTGATAGAGGGGAGCATCCACCTTAGAGGCAGAGAGAAAAAACGATTGACCATTTCCTGCCTTGTAACCCACGATTAAAAGGCGTCGACATGTTAAGGGCGTCAGTGCGCCTTGGAATGCCGAGACGTCTATACAAAAAATCTCATTGGTATAGGCCGGGAGATTAGTTTTCATTGCTTCTGATTTGTTAGACAACAGCTAGCACGAAGGACACGAATAATGTACGAATGTGTTCAAACTTTTTTCAATAAGAATGCTAGTAAGGGGAGGATCGTGACCCCCCTCAAAATTGGTTTAACAGTCATTGGCAGCATGTTTTAGTTTTCATTCTTCCATATATCTGTTGCCGGCGTTGGAAAAGCAAATACATTGGGGAATGAAAAGAAAGATAGGATACGGCAGAAAGCCGGCAATGCTGACATCAAGCTTGGTGCACTTTTGAAGTAAGTAGCACTCTTTCCTACTGCGTTTACCCCTGGACATTTTATCTGTTCTAACGCAGGAGTTGATTATTTAGCCTATTAGGACTACACCTTTCCCTTGCTTATCTCCTTAATAACGTTGCCTGCTGACTACACCCAACGTCTTTAAATAACCTGATGTTCCCACGGTAACAACCCGCTTCAGCAATAACTGAATCCATGTTTTCGTTTGTGTTAGGGTTTACCGCATAAAAGTTTGTTTGCTTTAAAATGTCGGCATCGAGGTCAGCTTCAAGAGCAACCCAGTCCAGACCATGTGATGGTGCCCAAGATACTCACAGTTAAGAAACCTCTGTTCCGGAATTAGACGAAGATAAAGACAGCAATCATTTCTCCTACCGCAGGAAAATAATCCCTGCTTATTGATTGTCTCCAGAGTAATAGACTGGAGGGAAACAGATATGTCAGTCATCTCCCTAACCGTCAGTCAGGTTTGCAGCGCCAAGGGTTACAGGTACACACATCATTGACTTCGGGGATGGAGGATGCTCCCAGCAATAACAGAAAAACCAGTACGATCAAGCTCCTACCCTAACGAAGCAATGCTGACTTCATAGCCCCGCACAATCTTCAGATGCTGATCGCTTTTCTATAGAACGAAGCTGGAGGATGGTCAAAGAGTAAATGAACTATATCCTGCAGACTTTTGTACTCTTCTGGATTCGATAAAAGTTTCCGACTTGTTGAAGGCGGCCTATCTGAAGGGTAGGACATGTTACAAACGGATAAGACGATTTAAAAGTGGCAGCCAGAGAACCTGAACTTCTGACCGATGGCAACGCGGCCCACCAGCTGTGCAGATATCAACCTCCGGACAGTTAAATTTCTGCATTCATTCAAGCAATGGGTCGCATATTTTAGCACCGACTTTACTGTCTCGGAGGCTCTGTACGTTTAAAACTTGGGAAAATTTCAATAAGGTTCCAGTCATAAGGTCCCACTATCGTAAGGTTCCAGTCCAGAATCGGGGCCCTGACTGGAACCGAGGATAGATACATCAGTTACCGCCATCTAGATACAGGTAGTTTCAATTTTATGGATAGATTTTCTGTATAAGACACTGAGCCCTTTATTTCTTTCTTCTTAAAGAGCATTCACCATAAAGCCTAAATTTTAAGGTAAACAAGGACTGGACGGGGTGTCCGAAGAAGATGAAAATAAGAAGGAACAGTTTAGCATACAGGAGTAAAATAGACGAAAGGAGGCCGCACGAGTATACGCTGAAAAAAATCCTTAGGAAACAAACCAATTTGGTAGATTTTTCATTCCTGCACATTTTATCCACTTACGTCCCATGGAATTGTTTTTGCCAGTCTCTCGGGTATGAGTTCCTCGGTCGGGTCGAGGAAGAAGGCGATCCGAAGTTCCTCACCGTTGAAGTGTATACTTTGCATACTCTCAATGTCTTGTACTGCCACGATGGGTCCTAAAAGTGAGGTGAAAGTGCAGTCACTGTGTGCGATATCGTTTTGGTGTTAAAGCGAGTTGCCTCTTCACAACAGAGCAATCAGGCAGCGTAGACTATCGGTTTAAATATACTTATCACGTCCAGCCCAATTTCCTGCTGGACGTGGATGCGCAGACCAGATATTCACACTGAGGCGCATTCTCGGATTTTACCACAGCTACCAACAACCGACGGCCGTCTGCTTCATTGACTTTGCCGCCGCATTCGATTCCGTTCATCGTGAGTCCCTGCGGCGGATAATGGCACTAGATGGTGTACCGGCAAAAATCATCGCCATGATCAAGGCCTACTACTGCTCCACTACTGCGAGAGTCCCGGTCCGCAACAATCTTCCCCAACCGTTGGGTATTCGGTGTGGCGTCCGACAGGGTTTTATCCTGTTACCCATTCTGTTCAATTATGTTATTGACTGGATCCTCGGGAGGGCCCTACGCGAGGGTGGCGGCGTTGAGTTTGCACCCGGACACCGACTGACTGATCTCGACTATGCCCATGATATCGCCTTACTTGTCTCAAGTTTTGGTGATCTGCAGTCTATGGTGTCAAGGGTGAACGAGCTTTCTAAATCGGTCGGATTATCTATAAACGCTAAAAAGACCAAAGCGTTTTCAAGATGCATCCCTGACCAAGAGAAGGCACCCCTCGGGATTGATGGTTGTCAAATCCAAGAAGTAGACAGTTTTAAGTACCTCGGGCGAGGCTGATGCCTAATGGACAGAGTAAGGACGATATTGCTTCCCGAATCGATGCTGCCCGCTGGGTTTTCTAAAATCTTAACAAATGCCTATGGAATCGACGTGACCTCTCCATCGCCATTAAGATTCGCGTGTACCGTGCATCTGTCCGGTCTGTCCTTCTCTACGGTTGGGAATGCTGGGCTTTGCGCGTGAAGGACGAGCGAAAATTGGAGGTATTTGACCACCACTGCTTGAGGACCATCCTTCGAGTGATGTTTACCGACTTCGTCTTAAGTGAGACAGTCAGCGCTCGCTGCGACAACATTGCAGCCATCCAAGAAAGACGACTGAAGTGGGTCGGGCATGTTCTTCGTCATCCACCTCAGGAGCTCAGAGTTACTGCCCTTGATCCGGCACCGTTGCCCCATTGGAGGCGGCGAAGAGAGGTTCCGTTTAAAACCTGGCTCGACACAGTTCGTCAAGACATGGAGGTGGTTCTTGAACCTTCGGTATTCGGTCTCCGTCGTTGGCGAAGGGAATGGGTTGAGCTGCCCAGATCTGTTCCTCGGATCATCGCGCATGGAGAGGTACAATTCGGGACATCATCGAGGCCGGCTAGATCAGACATGATCGGAGCCGTATCAAGTACAGACAAGTAAATGGCCTAGAGGAGGCTGAGGTTATTTTTTTCATGTTTTAACTAACATCGTGCTTATTCAGCACCATGTCCGACCTGCCTTTCTTAACAAGACAACAGCTGCTACTCAACAGGAGCAGGACTAGAGAGTTGAACGGAAAAATTCTATGTAGTTCATTACGAACATTAGAAGAGAGGTCTGGTGTGCCTTGAACCATTTGATTTTGCAGGCAATAGGAAAACCTGAAGTGCTGTCATTTGGGTGCAGGC